TGGCCACGTGGATTGTTTTAGAGACCAAAGTATAAATATTTCGAGGGATCAAAATAAAAACAAATACTTCGAGGGACCAAAGCGTAAATATTGCACTGTTGGTCATCTTCCTCCTCGCAGAAGCCATTCCCGCCACACGCTGTTCACCGCAGACCACTAGCTGCACGCCGTCAACTTATGGCGACTCAATCCAAAGTAGCAACCTGATCCCTTCAAGTCGCGAAAAAGACGATCTTCTCCTTCCGATTGCAAACGAAGAACACAGTAGATTACTGTGAAAACCCAGATCTGCATATTTAAACTGGAGGAGAAAAATCACAAAAGGCCGAACTAGAAGAATACATTGCAGACCGATCGAGTTCCTGTTTACCATACCGATTGCTCTCCAAATTTCCAGATCCAACTTCCATCAACGCCGAACTGTTTGAGCTTCAGATCCGAGCACTATGAGTTGTTGTTCCAGAACCTCCGTCAAATAGCATATTAATCGAACCTACGCCGAAGCAGAAGAAGATAGCTCGACTACACCAGTTTGACGGAACTAACTCGGATCCAAGCACCACCCGACTTGCATACCAGACCCCGACTACCAGTCCGCTAATGAAGATTTGCGGGTACCCCGTTAGGTCCATCTAGTATTTATACGGGATGGTGGCGAACGACATGCAGGCTGGCGGCGAACGGCATGCGGCGGCGAATGGCGTGTGGCGGCGAGGTTTTTTGCGAGGGGAGAAGACGACCAACAGTGCAATATTTACATTTTAGTCCTTGGGATAATCCACGTGGTCAATAATAATTTGTCTATGTGGCCTAGAGTAATCCAGGTGAACAAAATAATTTGGTCAACGTGGAAAGGTTTGAAAACACCCTTTTTGAGCATGTATCGGAGACTTTGCCATTTTCTAGAGTTAATTTTTTTCTTCTGAATAAATTTAAAATTTCAGGTTGATTAAATATTATTTTAAATAATTTATAGATAAAAAACTCATTCCTTTTAAATTGTTTAAATAATACTTAATACTATTTTTATTATAAAAATATTTTCTCCTTTTTAATAATTGTTGATTAAGATTGTTTAAAGTTTTGTTAAAAATACATGAGAATAATCTAATTTTACATATTTTTAATTATACATCTGATCAAAAATTAAAATATTATTTAATTTACTTAAAAATTATTTTTAATTTTATTATTTTTTAACTAAAAAATAAAAATTTCAATTTAATTATTAAATTCATTATTTTTAATTTTAAAATAATTTTTATTTTATTTTTGTAAATTATACTCAACCTTTTCTAAATTAAATAACACTTAATAATTCTTATTTTAACGTTTAAATAAAGCTGAGAAATAAAATAAAATATATTTAAAATTAAAAAATAATAAATTTAATTTACTAAAAATTAGATTTTATATTTTTGAAATTAAAAATAATTTTTTTCAAATAAATAAAATTTTTTATTTTTAATAAAATAATAATTAAAAATAAATAAAATTATACTACTCTTACATTTTTTTAATAAAATGTTAAATAATAAATAATTAACAGTTAATTAAAAAAATATTTTTATAATCTGAATAGAGTTAAATATTATTTAAATAAATTTGAAAAAATAAGTATTTTTTACATATAATTTTTTAAAACATATTCTTCATTCTAGAGCCTCTAATTGCTCTCAACTGTCCCTGTTTCAATTGTAAAATAAAGGGGCGAAACCAATATTACATTATAAAGCCACTAGACGGAGGCACACCTCACAAGCCACTGTTTCGTTTAGTCTTTTCTCTAAATTGTTTAATCATATATATATATATATATATATATATTAAAAAGAAAATGCTCAGCAGTTACCGGCGTTGGATGTGCTTGGACCTTTCCTCGATCCTCACTGGAAAGGTACCTTTCATCTTCGCCGTAAAATAGGATATGTAAACAGGCTCCTCACCATCCGGCAATGTCGGCACCACCCGAACCTCCGGAGCACGCCGGCGGCAACCCCTCTTCATCTGCAAGTACGCCATCTCCTTCCCCAGACAGATCCTGGGACCCGCCTGGAACACCGGGTACTCGTATGGGTCCGCCGCTATATATCTCCACTTTCCGCCGCCGGACTCCCTCTTCAGCCAGCGCTCCGGCCGGAAATCCGGCCAGTCCTTCCCCCACAGCCTCTCCATCCTCCCCATCGCGTACGGATGGTAACTCACCCTCGTTCCTTCTTCACAGCCGTACCGTCCGGCAGGACGTCGTCTTTCGTGGTTTGTTTTCCGTCCACCGGCACCGGTGGGTAGAGCCTCATGGTCTCGCTCAGAGATGCATGCGTATAGGGCATGTCCCTCACTTCCTCGTAGATCGCAGTTTTCTGATTTTTCATTAACCTCTCTCAAAATTTCCTTCTCCACGTCTGGGTGTCTCGAGACCAGCCAGAAGAACCAAGCCAAAGCTCCGACGTCGTATCGCGACCCGCCAATATGAAGCTGATGACTATGTCGGTGATGAGATTTTCATCCGAATGCCCAGAACACAAGAACCGTGACAACAGATCAGCCGATTCAAGACTTGAGTTTTCAGCGAGCTCCTTTTTTTCTCTCACAATTTGTTTCGCGAAATCGCGAACTTCATTGACCACGATTCGGAGCTGTTTTTCGGACCCGATTTGGAGAACTCGCTTTGTTTTCCACAACAGGGGATGAAAGGACTCGAACCTCCGGCTAGTGAGCTGAGCCGCAGTTTCGAAAGCCACTGCGAACTTTGTTTCAGGTAGGGACGGCGACAAATATTCTGCGTCGTACCCGAATGCGATCTTGCAAACGTTGTCGAACGCGAATCTCTGCAAAAATGTCCTGAAGAAGGCGGTGCTTAAAAAAATCAACCAAAGCAAAAAATCGAACCAAACATATTGTTTGATTATGTTTATTTGTATAAATGTCATGTGCTGGGCTTGAAAATTTTTAAAATCACAAGTTGGATTGATTTAAGTTTTAGTGTTATAAAGATTGATTGCTTTTTTTAGTTTTAATAGTTGATGGTAAAAAAAAAATAAATTAGAAGAGTCTCTTTTCGTTAATTAATTTTAGAAATTAATATTAAGATATAGTTTTAATTTGAGATTTGTGATTATAAATGTTTAATACCTTATATTTTTAATATAGGAGTATTTATGGTTTAGTTTAATACTCAAATTTAATTAAATTATATTTTATTTTATAATTTATAATTTTTATAAAATCAAACCGAATCACGATTTACAATTTAATTCTATTTAAAATCGTAATTTGTAATTTATAAAATAAAAAAATTAAATTAACTACATTTAAAAATTTAAATAGAATTTTTCCTAAATTACAATTTGGTCATTCATTTTTTTCAACATGTGTTAAATTAAAAAAATTATTATTTATTAATTAACTATAATAATTATATATTATACAATAAATATATTTATACTATTTTATAGAATTTCACTTATATTAATAAAAATTATAAATTATAAAAAAAAAAACAATTATTATAATACATATAAATAAAAAGAAAATAAAAGAAATAAATATATAATCAAATAATAAAAAATACTATATATAGAGAGATAAAATTATATACATATATATAAATTATATAATTTGATTCTGTTTATATAGTTTATCTATATATTAAATATCAAACCAAATCGTATAAAAAAAATTCTTTTTAAAGCAAGTCAAACTAAATTAAATTACAATTTCAATGGTTTAAATGGTTTAATTTGATTTGTTGAATACCTTTATTTTAATATAGGTCATCAGATATGAGCTAATAAATTTATTTATAAGTAAAATATTAAATTTATTTATTATTTATGGTTACTTTTAAAGGAGTGTTTTTGTTTTGATTTTAGCCATTGTTCAAATTAAATCAAATATATCAATTTTCAACAATTTTGAATATAATCAGTTTTAAAATATCTTAAAATTGAATAAAACTAAACATGATTTTTATCAATTTAGTTTAATTTGACTAGATTGATTTTAAATATGTTTTTAAGATAATTTCCATAAAATTCTATTAATTGCACAAAGAAAAAAGTTTATTAAAGATACTACAAAATTAATCTCATTTTCTCCAATGTCAACAGATTTTAATATCAAATATTTAAAATATAATTAAAAATCCATAAAAATAGTATATAAGAATGAGAGATTAGGTAGAATTTTATTTTTTATTTTTAACTTTATACATATGTATGTATGTGTGTTATTAAATAAATTATTATATATTAAATAATATATATTATTTAATAATATTAAATAAAATAAAAATTAATATATAATTAATTGAAGTTGGTTCAATTATTTTTTAAAAAATTAACAACTAAATTGAATTAAACTAATTTTTTTAATTTTGATCGGTGTTTAATCAGTCCAACCAATTTGGTTTAGTTGTGAATACAATAATAACAAAAAGTTCTACCTTGTGCCAGGCATAACACTGGGCAATCCTAATAGTTTATACCCGAGCCAATACAATGAAGCCATGTGTTCATTTACTAATCATCTCGGTACGCGTGGCATCATTCTATTGCCTCAGTATAATTATTAGGTTATGCCCGGTACAACGTAAAATTTTTCTCCAAATAACCAACCCAAATTGGACAAAAAAAAATCATGTGGATTGGAATGGGATAAGAGTTTCTCTAATTCACTACTGTACTTTTGACTCACAATTTAATAAGAAAAGAAATCAAATTGAATCACGTATACCCCAACCTGAAGATCGAGCACAGTCCCGTACTTCGCGGCGGCGCAGAAGATCGGGATTAATCGGCCGGTGAGCTCAGCGTCCACCACATGTTCGACGAAATGACGCAACGACTTAGTATTAAACTCATGGCTCGAGACCTGCCTCTGGAACTTCCAGTTCTCGCCATTGGTGTTGAAGATGCCGTCGCCCAGCAAATCCTGGAGAACAGTCAGAGAGATGGGGCCCTTCTGGTACACGTGAAAATGAGACTTGAGAATATGTTGGACGTTGGAGGGGTTCGCCGTGAAGACCTGCCGGCGACCCAGTGGCCGGTGGAGGACGAAGGTCGCTGTCGGCGAGCTCAAGAGCACGTCGGACGTCCACTGGATGGGGCGGTCCCGGTTCGCATAGATTGCGAAGAAGGAGCCGACAATAGGGTACGATCTGGGGAGTTTAGAGGACTTGGATGGAAAAAGGCCTGTGAGAATGGATTTGAGGTTGAAGATGAAGAAAAAAAGCAAAGGAAGAAGAGTGTAAAATAGCAGAGAAGTTGAGAGCTCAAGGTCGAACATGGCTGAATCGGCTTGGAAGGGATGCAAGGAGCGAACAAGTTGAGATAATTTATACAAAATGTAGATGCTATCAGCCAACACGTTACATAAAATAGGTGCACAATGGCTTGATACTCCCGAGGAAGTCTATTAGACTTTCTTTGAATAAATAATGTTGTGTTGCTTGCAGAAAACTCTTTTGCCTCATTTAAAAACTTGGGTGCATAAGGGTGTCTGAGAAGTCAGGTGGGATGAATTGTTATTAAATACAACTTTACACAAGATCAGAAGTTTTGAAATAGAAAAATGGAAAATGAAATAATTGAGATAATTGGACGGATTAGTGTTGGGTGGGACCCACAATTGTATTTTTATTTTTAAAATATTTGTTCTTGTTCCTTTAACTATATGAAGCGTGGAAACTAATAATATACAAATTTAGAAAAAAATCTAAGTCGATGAAATCAGTGTTATGGGAATTGCCACTGCACAGTTAAGGAGCTCGTTTGATTAGTGGATTTAAATAATATAGGATAAAATAATATATTTGGTAAAGTATTTTAATAATATAATATTTTAAATTATTATATTTTATTTATTAAATTTAAATAAAATATCAAATAAATAAGTTAATTAGTAAAATATTATTTTTGTTCTCGGCAAGAGAGAGTGGCTGTCAGTGATTAACACATGGTAGATGATAATATTTGACAATAGCAAAAGATAGACGACAAAGCAATAGCTAAACTATGTTCGTGCTGGGTTCATGGTAATAACTCCGAATAATAGATGGTAATGAACAACAAGAATTAGCTGTGGCAAGTGAACAACGGTGATAGTTGCCTATAAATAATATAGATAATATTAGATAAAAAATTAAATAACCTCTCTTTCCTATAATTTGGTAACATTTATTAAATAATATATCTTATTTAAAATTTTTATTTAATATATTAAATATTAAAATAAAACATAAATTACACTCATCATGTGTCATTCACCTCACAAATGAGCATTAAGTTGGCTGAATATCACCACCCACGTCATCAAATAACTCCTGCAGCGCAGAGCATCGAATAACTCCGCATCAGTACTTGATGCAGGGGCTGAAAGTACTGAACCAGAGGTTTTGGCAGCCGTTCGATACTGTGTGAGTAGCTATTGAATGCTGATCCAACAGCCTCTAGAGGCTCTGACTGTTGGATTCAATCTCATCACCCACACGTTTTTTGTAACCTTGTATATTATTGATTTATTTACAAAAAAAAAAAATTTAGTTGGAGCCCAAGATGTGACTGTCCCACAGAAGTAATTTAATTATTAAAATGTCGTGTTCTTCTCTCCAATCTCCATTCTCGTGCAGTTTAATCGAAATAGTGTACTAGTTGCACGCTCATTGCGTGTTTGTTTGGCAGTACGAAAATTTAGATATTTAATTTTTTTAAACAAATTATTTATTTATGTTGCTTTCATATTGTACTACATTTAGGGGTTATATAGATACATCATAAATTGTGTGGATTTGGGAGATAAGATTATAATAAAATAGAATATAATTATTTTATTTGGAAATATTTTAATCTTATTCTTAGTTTAATTTTTATTATTTTAATAAGAAAGAATCAAAATTAAAATGACTAAAATATTCTTCCTACTAGTCGAAAGTACTGAACGGTAGTCGGAATCTGGTGTTGGGCATCAAGAACTGTAGCATCGATGGATCTTTCTCTGTTTTTCCTTCTTCGGTCGAATTAATGTTTAGCCCAAATCTTTCTCCTCTCCTCTTTTCTCTCGGACAATCTTCAGATTTATAGCTAATGGACAAATTGGATAACGGTTGTTGGATGCCATGTCCAGTTGGCTGTTCTTCTTCCTCCTCTGCTCTCTATTCTTTCTCTCCTCTTTGCAAATTTTGATCTATAGTAAATGAATGATCTTCAAATCTGAAGCAAATGAACGAATCGGACAACGATGGTTGAATGCCATGTCCGCTTGGTAGTTCTTCCTCTTCCTACTCCTCTCCTCTCTTCTCTCTCTCTCTCCTCTTTGCATATCAGATCTGTAGCAAACGGATGATCTTCAAAATCTATAGCCAATGGACAAATTGGACAACGATGGTCAGATGCCATGTCCGTCCGGCTGTTCTTACTGCTCCTCTCCTCTCTTCTCCATGTCTGGCTAGCTAATCTTCCTCCTCTCCTCTCGTCTCCTCTATTCTCTTTTCTCTTCTCTCTCCTTATTGCAAATTAGAGCAAATGGACTAATTGGACTACAGCGGTCAAATTCTATGTTTGATTGCCTGTTCTTCCTCCTCCTCTCCTGGCATTTCTCGAATGCTAGCGGTCAGCTTAGCAGCTTTGGGTTTTGGCTAGAAAGACGTCACCTTGGCTATTGGGCATATTTTAGTTTTTTTACCCATAAATAGTACAGGCATTTTAGTCCAATAAAAAATATAGTTATCTAAAAATACTTAAGAAAAATTATTACACCTTTTCGTTCTTATAAACATTATCCTTTCCGTATAAAAAGTTTTTTCTTCAAATTTGTTACATGCGTATAGAACATGTAATTAAATAAAATAAATTTATATTATCATATTTTAGTAATTCAAATGAATGTCACCAAATTAGATAAAATAAGATAGAATTATGTTCAAATAAAATATTTTAATATATAATATTTTAAAGTATTATATCTTATTTAATAAATTTTTATACAAAATTAAACAAAATATATAATAAATATATAAATTATGAAAATATTTTTTAGATGCTGAATTTATCAAATCTAATAAACCAATTAGTTCAACCCGGATCCTAATCACGGCCCATAAACCTATCCAATAAATTCCTTTGGTGACTAGTTCACCACTACTTCAATTGGCTTTAGCCCTAACTTTTATCTAAGTGCTAGGTTATGCCACCTCCTATCCCACTTCTGAACGTCGTTGTATGTGCAGTTTAAAGCAGAGCATGACACACCTATCAACTCTTGCTATTAGAATTTAAAAAAATGGACACTTCTGTGCATTTAATTATTTAAAAAAAGTTATTATTTATATTATTACTATTTTTTTTTAAAACGAATGGCATCCTCACATCAATTTTAACATAAAATTAATTTCCTTCAAACAATAATAGTAAATTATCAAAACTTTTTATAACAAATACGTTTTTCTTAAGAGAATCGAACTTGTATTTTTACTATCATCGAAGTGAAAAATGTTTATTGTCTTGACTAGCATTTCTTGGTAAACTCTAATTATTTTATGTTAAATGGAATTGATACATCAAAATGAAAAGGGTTAAAAGTATTGACTTTTAAAACAAACAACACATTAAGAAAAAGTTTAAATTGCAACAGTTGCTTTTTTAATCAAAACACGTAATATTTAATATAATTATTTTTTGATTGTCAGGGTCTTGTAACTATTAATTGTGTCATTCCTACAGCCTAAGTTGTATTATTAAACTCACCGATGAGATGATCCAAACTGGGTCGATTAAAATACATGGCAAGATTTCTTCAAGGTTAAGAAAAGAAATAAAATTTTATGTACTACCAACAAATTATGAATGTAATAAGGGTTGAGGTGCAAATATACAATGGATTAATTGTATAAATAGCAATAAATTATTGGAAAGGTGCACTACATCAACCTCCCAGCGTGGAATGATTGTCTTATTTAAACATATATATATATATATATATATATAGGAGGGATTAATTGACATCAAGTGTAAGTGTAAAGATTTACACCATATCTTACACCGTTGATTTTGACCAAATCAATTGTGTAAATTAATTACAGTTGATTTAAATGCAAATTAATTGCTGGAAGTTAATAAAAGATAACTGTAATTAATTTATATCGTGTATTTGAATCAAATCAATAGTGTAAAATATGGTATAAATCTTTTATATTTACACTTAATGTCAATTAATCACTTCTTATATATATATATATGTATATATATATTATTTTCTATTTATTTATTTATGATCGCGCTCATAAGTTGGAGTTCTTACGTGGGCCATCGTCTTGCTATTTTTTCGCCGTGCGTGGACTTCACCTACTATTATACCGAAAAGGAGACGAACCATTTTGGGCTTTCTTCATCGGAAAAATATTTGGGCTAGGCCCTAATCAGAGGACCGTAGTTGCACTGAAGTACTGGGCTTCTATTTCGAGCAACGGAGTGTTTGGCTGGACGCATTTTAAAATTTAAGATTTGTTTTTTTGGTTTGAAAAAAACATTTAAGGATTAAGTCACGAAAGTCACGAAAGTAAATTGAAGTTTAGAACAAATTTCGATTTAACGAATATTTTTAACTTTTAAAAATTTAAAAGACCGATCATCTCATATTTTAAACTGTTGCTAAAGGTTAATAATTTTTAATTACCAATTCAAAAAGTATTAGTTTGTAAATATTTTTAAAACTTAATTAACGTTATCAATTAAAAAAAGAGATGATTATAATTAATATTTTAAAAATATTGTAATTAATTAATATCAATTCATGACTAATTGAATTTTAACTGAAAGTAAAGTCAAGTCTACAATCATAGTGTGCTGATAGACTCGTGGTACAATCCTGTGAAGCATGTTCCTGTCCGAAGGTTGTCAAAATGATGAAGTAACTAACTTCGAGCTGCCTACAAGATCTCAAACTAACCGTTCAACCGCGTATGCAAATCGGACGGTTTTGCGGACAGGATCTTGGCGAGCCGGGACTCACGATATCATCACTCAAAAGTAAAAGCGTATGAAAAGGATATTTGCTGGGTTTTGGTCCACAAAGGAGACTTGATGCAGTGTGTCTGTGGAATCGTTACCAAAGAAACCCTAAACAGTTCAGATCTACTCTCTACACCGGAACCCACCACGAGTCTACTACTGAATTCACATGAAACATGTTGATCTCTCCCCAAATTGCAGTTGCGGGTGATCCATGACTTCTTGAGGTGGCTCTTATTTCCTTTTTAATCGCAGTTTTTCTGTGTCTTTCATGTGATACACACAAAACCTCTCATAGATATACGTGCGATTGTTGATTGTGTCGAGCTGGTTCCGGCGCCTTTTCATGTGAATGATTAGATTTAATAAATTTCAAGTTATTATAGGGCTTTGAGTTTGTTGTAGTTTTGCCTGCTTTTTGTATAATATACATGCACATCCGCGTAGATGTACATGTGATTGTTGATTGCATCTAGCCAGTTCTGATGCTTTTTCATGTGAACAACTAGTCCAGGGTCATAAATTTCAAGATTATGGTCGGGACCTTCTAGTTCTAGTTTGGCTTTAAGGTGTTTGTTAAATTGTCTTAGAGAGATGGGGGAGAAGTTTTGGTTGAATGAAGAGACAAGGGGCTGGTGAATCTGTTCTGGGCAGCGAGGCCTTTGAGTTCTTGGTGGCTTCAGCTTCAGGAAACGTCTTGTCAGAGTTTGTGCCTGCGGCATCAGGGGATTTGGGCGTCCAGCAAGCTCTGTGCAAGGTGGTTGATGGGTCAGATTGGACCTATGCCATTTTCTGGCAGGTCTCAAAGTCAAAATCGGGAAATTCAGCCTTGATTTGGGGTGATGGACATTGCAGAGAGCCCAAGGGGGTGAGGTGAGGATCAGAAATTAGAGGAAGGGGATAGGAAAAAGAGGGCGTTGCGGAAGCTGTATGCTTGCTTTGGAGGGTCAGAGGAAGGTAACTTTGCGGCAAAATTGGATTTGGTTTCTGATGTGGAGATGTTCTATCTCACGTCAATGTACTATTCTTTCCCGTTTGACAAGCCCTCCAGCCCTTCACAATCATTTAACACTGGTAGGGTTATCTGGTTTCAGATGCCAAGGGTTGTTCGGAGCATTACCAATCGAGATCATATTTAGCAAAATTGGCTCGATTTGAGACGGTGGCTTTGATTCCCTAAAATCAGGAGTGGTGGAAATTGGCTCTGTTAAGCCTATAGCCGAAGATCAAAGCCTAATTCAGACTGTCAAAACTGCATTTGCTGGGCCTCTGCCCTTACAGGCGAAGGTGTTGCCGAAGATATTCGGGCATGAACTTAGTCTTGGCAGTGCAAAGTCACGGCCCATGACCATAAGTTTCTCCCCCAAAGTGGAAGATGACTCGGGATATGCATCAGAGTCTTATGAAGTTCAGGCTGTAGGACATAAGCAAGTTTTTGGGAACTCTTCTAATGGGCCTCGAAGTGATGATGGTGAAGCAAAACTATTTAACCAAGTGATTGGTGGGGGTTTGGCTTCACCTGGTCAGGAGGACCTTTTGATTTCACCTGATGATCGTAAACCCAGAAGAGAGGAAGAAAGCCTGCCAATGGGAGAGAGGAGCCTCTGAACCATGTTGAAGCAGAAAGGCAGAGAAGAGAGAAGCTTAACCAGAGATTTTATGCACTAAGAGCGGTTGTTCCTAATATTTCAAAGATGGACAAGGCCTCTCTCCTTGGTGATGCTATTACATACATCACTGAGCTCGAGAGGAAGATAAGGATCTTGGAAACTGAAAAGGACATGGTTGGCAATAAGCAAAAACAATTGGCTGTACAGAAATTGATTTTCAGGCAAGGCATGAAGATGCCGTTGTGAGGGAGCTGCACGTTGGACACTCACCCCGTTTCTAGGGTTATAAAGACATTTAGGGAACATCAACTCATAGCACAAGAGTCTAAGGTTTCAACAACAGACAGTGGCGAGATTGTTCATACTTTCTCTCTCCGGACTCAAAGTGGCGCTGTTGAGCATTTGAAGGAAAAACTGGTTTCTGCTCTTTTCAAGATGATGCAGATTTGAAGTTGAAATTGTAAGGTTAGTTTTTTTATGCATCCTTTGTATCATTTACTATGTAGTATTTCATAAGAGATAGGGCTATTGTATACGTTCCTGGGTAAAAACGGAATAGTTTATGGATGGATATGGCTTCTGTTTTTGCTTCAATTCAGTGTTTTCTCACCATATGTATGGCTCAGTTTACTTCTGTTAAATTCAAGAAGACATTTCTTGAAGTTTATTTTCTCTATATGGGCAGCGGAGGATGTTGTGTTGATCTCATTTATGATTAAGTGCTGTTTTGTTTATCAGTAAACAACTAGATATCTTTTATGGGATTCATTACTATTCTCATCTGTAAATGATTTGGTTGGTGTTTGATATAATTTGCTTCAATTGGATGGCATTTAGGAAATTGTGGCTCATAAATTGCGACATATCATTTATTCAGAGGACCAAAAATAGATAAAATCATGCCGTCCACGTTTCTTAATTTTGGAGATAGGCCATTTATTTAATATTTTAGCCTTATAAACAATGTTTCAATTCGGATATGACCCTTTGTGGGCTCAATCTGGATTTGAAGTCACCATCTAAATTCATATGACCCGTTAAAAGCCAAATTCATGGGTTCAATCTGAATCTGGTAGAATTCAAGTCCGGTCTCGATCAAGTTAGGTCAGACGTGGATCCCACTCCAAGGTTGTTGTTGAATAAATTTAGTGGAAAATAAAAACGAGTATTAATAGCCGGGATCCAATTCGGATTTAACCATGTGTTTCCTGTATTTCTAAAGATAATACTGGCTTGCAATGGGATTGCATCTTGTTAATAGATTCTAGATTCTAGATTCGGTCCAAGTGCAAACTACATCCTTAGCAGACTAGATCGATTATCCACTAATTACGTGGATTAATAGTAAACATATCTTCTACCTCAACATGCTTTCTTAAGCCTTAATATTCTCCCACCACGCTGTACTGGTAAATAAACAAACAAATAAATAACTGGGAATCGCTTTCTCCCTTCCTGGATCATCTTCACAATTCTTCCACGTTATCACTCCATTTAAACTTCCAGTAAAGCGCACCTGAAAATTGCTTATTTATTAGTCACAAATCAAACACAACATATTTATTTCACATCCATTTCAAAGAATTCCAATTATCACAGGACTAAATCATATGGCATATTGGGTGATGACAGTGTGATGGATCATTGCATCTTGGCGCATTCTTGGGATGTAAAAACGCCTAATTCGTCAATCCAACAGGCTTTGACGTACCAGGAATGGAGAGACTCCTACCCAAATAAATTTGAGGCTAGACATGAATGGGAGGAGCGGTGGAGCAAGTTGCATACGTTGATTAGCCGGCGCGCCGAAACCTTTCGGAGCGGTGGATTTGGGTGGCCTCTTCGTAGGAACGGTGCTGTGGTGGATCGGGTTTGGTCCAGGAGGAGTATAAGGTTTCTTGTACAGAGACTGAAAACGAATATTTTCACTTTCATATTGGCTGGCTCTTTTTCAGGATGGATGTTGGTAGCTTCAGAGGGAACTGGAACCCATAAAGAAGGGCGGTTGCACACAGAACGGTTAGAATAAGGACAAGAGGAGTCATATTAGAGGGCAAATTGTTTAGGTGTCTTGTGCGTGACTCTGTGCTCTATATATAGCAGAGAGAGAGGGAAGAGAACGGCGGTTCCAATTGCATCTCTTTTGAGAATTTTAGGGGAACATTCTTGCTACCATTTTGCGAAGAATTTGCTCAGAAACCAAGGGTAAGTTGTTCGTAAATGATAGTGCGAATGCCAAGAAACAATGGAGAAATTTCTAATTGGTAATTACACGGTGAAATTAAGAGAAATTGTAAAGAAATTAAGTTGATGGGCTTTCAGATTCGGTCATTCGCTAAGGAGGCCTGCGAGCCCAGAATTTTTTGTGGCCCAAATCCTCATTAATTGTATTCTAGTCGGTGAACAGCACAATCCGGAAAGAAAAAAAAAAAAAAAAAAAAAGCACTTCTGCAAATAATGAAGAGAGCAGCATGGCCAAGGGTGGAGCCTGCGACCAAGATGGAGAAATTTGCAGTTTTTTTTTTTTGGCGTACAAGAGGGGGCAAAAGTCTTAAAAAAAAAAAAAAACTAGTTAGCACGGAGTGATCCGAATTAATCCAACTTTAGAAGAGGCCTCAGGTTAATAGGAGGGAAGGCCCATTCCTAAAAGGCGGTTTAAAAGAGAGTTTTGGATGGAGTCACGCCTAATATGAATCATCATTTTCTGCCATTGAAATTCAAGTAAACTATTAATTCTTAATAAAATAGAAGATCCTGACCTCTAACTAGGGGTGTTTATGATTTTTAAAATCGTACCGAATTGAAAGTTATATTTTTTAAAAAAATTTATAAGTTATGATATTAGGTAATACTGTACTATATGTTTTTGTACAGTTTTAATTTTATAAATTCAAAACTAATAAAAAAATGTACTAAATCGAATATTATATATAATAATTTATTAAATTATTTATATCATATAAAAATTATTAAATTTTTAAAGTATTAATTATAATTTAATAGTAAATTAAATAAATTAAAGGATTAAGAACTTATATGAAAAATAAGTATAAATATTATGAATTGAAATGTAAAAAAGATTTTAATATATGTTTTTTTATACTTTTACAACTTTTATTAACTTATACATCTATTAAAGAATGAGATTATTCTTTTTTTATTTTTTCTTTTATTATCTAATTTATGTTATAATATAATAAATCATTTACCAATTTATTATCTAATTTAAATTTCATAAATTACCTAACACATAATAAACCTTAACTTAAAAAAAGAATTTCTTAAATACGCTTTTTTATTATAAATAAAAAAAAGTCTCACTTAACAGATCTAAAAAGTAATTCTAGAAAAAGATTAAATAAAAAAAAATTACATGTAATGAAATTTGAACTAAATATTGAACTTTCTTCTTCCATCAAAAACTTTAAGTTTAAAAAATTACTATTTCCAATAAATACAAATAATTGATAATTAAATTTTAAATTTTAAATAGAAATTATTGAATTTTATATTTTAACTATTAATAAAAAATAAGTGTAAAATAATAAATGCATATTTAAAGAAAAATAAAATTAAAGTTTAAATCGTACCATACTAATATATTATGCAAAATAATTTAATAAATTATTTATATTTATATATAAAATTATTAAATTTCAAACAATTGGATTATAAGTTATTAATTAAAATATTTATATTATATGTAAGTTAATTAAATCATTTAATAATAGTAAATTTTTAATTAAATTGATTAAAAGTTTCATATTATATTAAATTAGATTAAACAAAATTGACTTTTTCATTATATTCATATGATTTTTAATTTGTTTCTAATATATTGTGAGATCAAGAATATGAAGTTATAGATGGTTATTAATGAAAATTTTGAAATTAAATATTTAAATGTAGGAAATTATTAACATTATATAATTTTGAAATAATTTAATTTTTTCATATTGGTTATATACTAAAAGAATATTTTTTGTGTAATTTTGTAAAATTTTTATTAATTTACTTAAATATTTTAATATAATTAAAAAAATTATAAAAACTATACTAAATTATACCAAAATGAATAAAATCGAAATAATAATACAGGTATCAAAAAGTATAATTTTTAATTTAAATACTAAAAATATTAAAATAATTAATACGATATAATTTTATGAAAAAAATTAAAAAAAAACTAAAATGTATTGACCCTACTCCAACTCTCTTAGTCCTTGAAAGAACAAGGACCATCAGTTTGGAACCGAGGCTAGTGACAGGAGTGATGCGTGGCAATCAGGGAAGGAAAAAACTGAGGGAAGAGGAATTGTGAGGGCTCCAAGGGTGGACCTAGAGAATGGGACTAGTTTGAATGAAGTAACGTGGACCACACCGTGGGGCAAGAGGGGATCAGTTTGGTCCAACAATTGGAGGCCCAAAATGGTTCCGTAGACTGGACTAATGGAGTAGTGGATCTTGCATAGGGCTGACACAAGGTCTAATGGATTTGGATTGCACAGTGGCATAGCCCCCAGATCCAGCGGCCTTTAAGGTGGAGGCCCAAAAAGGGAATTTTGTGGACTTTAGACAGCGGAGACTCGGGAAGCTTGACGAAGAAGTAGGGGGTATTTGGAAAACTTTTACAAATTAGTAGTTGAATTTTTTTAAAAAAAGTGGATTAAAGTTAATTAAAGTAAAAAAAAGTGGATGTGTTTCCAAATTATATTAAGAAGTTATCAAAAATAATGAAATAGATTTTTGAAATATAAGTTGTATAATTTGTTTATAGAGAAATTTTTGTTAAAATTATCAAAATGTCTAATTTTTTTTCCTTTTCTCCCTCACTTCCTCTCCCCCCCCCCCCTCCCCCCCAACCCCCATTTCATCTCCATCACTTCATGTACAATTCCTCCACCCAACTGAGCATAAAGGCTTCCATGCAGATGGTGCAATGAGTCTCAGAGTCAACGTGGTTGTCAACAATATCAATCATGGGCATAGACTTAACCATAGCTGTCGACACTAATGATGGCTCCTAGTGGCCAAAGCCATTGCTTTCGATCAGCTCTTCGAGTAGCCGATCGAAGCCCCAACCCATAAAGAACTCTAATAGGAATCTAAAGGGTTGTTCTCTGATATGTGCATCGGTAGAGTTGGAAAATCGGGGGGGTGGATCGAATTGGCGTTGACAGTCCACCGCCTCCACAAACCCACTATTGTAATAGGGGCAAACCCATATTGAAGAGAAGCTTGGGCCTCTGCTCTATCTTTATTGAAGGTGGCGGGCGACTAGGTTGTGTGGTGATTGGTTGTTGGTTGCCAAAAGGCAAGCAACATCTGGCAGAGGATGGAAGTTTTGGTAGGAAATAGAAAAAAGGTAAGGCATAAATGTTAAAATTTTGTCTGTAATAATTTTTATTTATTTATAA